CTTCAGGTACCGGAAGGTGCTATAAGGTCTCCCCGGAGCCTTCTCTTCTCCAGGCTGAACAAGCCCAACTCTCTCAGCCTGTCCCCATGGCAGAGGTGCTCCAGCCCTCTCCATCATCTTCATGGCCTCCTCTGGACTCGCTCCAAGTGGTCAATATTCTTCTGATATTGAGGGCTCCACAGCTGGACGCAGCACTCCAGGTGGGGTCTCACCAGAGCAGAGTAGAGGGGCAGAATCCCCTCCCTCGACCTGCTGGCCACACTTCTCTGGATACAGCCCAGGATACAGTTGGCTTTCTGGGCTGCCAGCACACATGGCCAGCTCATGTTCAGCTTTTCATCCACCAGAAGTGTACCTGGAGCTACCAAAACATGTCTGCAAAAGGGTCAGGTTAACTCTGATGTAATCTATAACAGCTTCCTGTCTGCCCACAAAAATATAAACACAGACATATATCTGTGCATTCAGACATCTTGAAAGTTCTATATTGATCCTTCTGTCTTCTGATGTGTGTCATACTGGTTTGGTAGTTAACACCTAGTCGGTAAAAAAGCTGTGATATTAATTCTTAATTTAAGATTTTAATTAAAAAAAATAGTCAGCTCAAGTTAACCACTAAATTTCTAAAATAGATTATCCAGTGGCAAAAAATAAAACCTCTTTTCAAACATTCTAAAAACAGTAACACACTATGAGTGGCAGGGATGCATAACGCATTATCAAGTCGAGTGACACGTCCCCTTCCAGAAGAAATAGAGAGGTTTCTTCTGTAAAGAAACACTCAGTTGCTGAAGTCTACACTAATGAGAATTTGGTTTTCTCCACCAAAGAAGGATGGATCTACTGTCCCAGAATTTAAATGTGTAACAAATCGTAATTATTATTTTCAGTGAGTTCCTGGTTGTGTAATGGAAGAGCAACCAGGCATATGGCAGTATGCTTAATTCAAATTGTATCACAAAAGCATTAAAGTGAGTATAAACTGGTAGAGTCTTATCTACACGATTTCTAAGCAACATTCCACATTTTTTAGTCTTTCCGTTTTTATTCTGCAGTTGTGAGACTTCCTGAATACTTTCCTAACATTTCAGCTGCTAAACAAGGTAGTTAAGAATTTCACATTGTTACTACTCTGACTTTGATAACAATAGAATCCTTTGTAGAATCTATCTAATAACCTACGGCCTAAACTACATGGTCCAAGAAAAGAATACCTTGTATTCTGTGTAAATAGAACTGCCTTAGAAATGAAAAGTCACAAAGAAAAAGACACCTGCAATGAATTGCACAATACCTGCAGTGCAGTCTGCTAAACTTAGGATAAGTGATCAGCATTTCTCTAGACCAGAGAACATCTTTTGTCCTTGCTTGTTTTTTCTTTTTTGGGGGTTGGGGAGGAACAAATAACCTTGGAAACAGTATTTCAATCAGATCTACCTTTTGTTCAGTATGTTTTCTAAAAACTAACAATTACTTCATAATCACACTTCCAGTTAATTTAAGAAAACCACTTTCTTTCAGTAGAAGCTGATTCATTTGAAACAGGAAACCAAGTTAATTCTCTATTACTAATCCTTTAGCAAGTCAACAGTAACTAAATTATGGACATAGCTTTTTTACCTGACAATTGTGTGATGGAATTAAATACATCTTGTGCTGTTCATTCTCTTTGGGAAAGATAAAAAGTGATGGAGTTTGTGTTAAGGTCATTCTACTTAATTCAACAAGGCAAAACAATACCAGTAGGAAGAGGACAGCTATGATACCACTACTGAAGAACACGTTTTAAGTAGTATTTTCCCTGGACATTTTCTTAAATACTTTAAATACAGAAAGAATTGCAATGACTCAACTGTTAGTTTTCCACATCACCGGCCATGTAGCTACCAAAAATGCGAACAGTGGACTGATATCTTGATGTCTTCTCATCTATTGTAGCCTAACTCTTACATTTCCTTAGTAAGGGCCTGTCCATGTCCTACAGCATGCATGTTTTTCAAAGTTCAGTTAACTGCTTTGACAGCATTCCTTCCACATTTACATATAAATGAGTTTATTCTCAAAACCTCTCACTGCTCTAAGCTGCATGGCTTAGACTTTGTGCCAGCGTGTCCTCTGACACTTTAAGTATTGCAGACAAATATATTTTCTAAAAATTGAATTTAATAATTTGTTAATAACAATTTAGAAATATAATTTATTTATTTTCTACTGCCCAGCAGCTCTGATATCATGAAATTTCAGCTTCGCTCACTCGATCAGTGTTTTCCTTTCACTCAGATAATTAATATTCTTGATGGACTTGATGCACAACAAGTTCCCTGAGATGCTGGACATAATCCCACAATGTCTCCTAAGGCAACTAGGGCAACTGGTTTTTTAGCTGGAGTAAGATCAACAAGCACTTAAACATAGAGACTCAAAAAATTCATGTCTGAAATATCAAGCATTTTTTCCCCTCTTTTGTAAGGAAAAAAACCTTCAAAAATTAAAATCCTAGCAAATAGATACACTCTAATTTAGCAATCATGTACCCTGTAAAGCCACAAACAGTACCAGCAAGTTCATAATCAGACGCCTGCCTGAACCAGAGTTAACTGCTTATCAGCTAACACCAATATGTCAAAATCTTCTAGATCTTGATTAAAATAAGTAGAATTAATAGTATTTACATCATCATGCATTGTTCTTTTCAATTCTAGCCTAAAAAAAAATTATCTACATATTTTAAACCTTTAAACAAAAAGCAGATGTCTCACTATAGTAAGATTAACTTAAAACATGACAAGTTACTGTTTCTTAAAAAAAGTCAGTGCTGGAGACAGTAAAACTAGAGCTTTATGATTTAGGCTAGAGTTACTCTAGCAACCGTACTGTTTAGTCACACTATGTCATCTAGAGATGTATATTTTGATGTTAAATGAACACAAGTGTATTGAATTTACAGAAAACTAGCCTATTTCATGATTCTATTCCTTCCCACTTTTTCGTTTCCTCAGTATGGTGAGGACAGTAGCATTCTACGATTCTGCAGAAAGAAGGTCCTTTGCCTTCACTTCATAATAAGCACCACTTATCATCACACGGTCATTCTGGACATGACCAACCCACTCCCCTTGGGAACAGCTCAGCATCCTGTCCAACTGTGGGGATAAAAGCTTCCCTATGCCAACTTAAAATGTGTACAGTATAGCTGCTGGAGTAGTTACCTCCAGTCGCTTGAAGCTCATTAATGGTTTAAGGGCATTTTGCACAGGTGAAAGCAGAATAGAAGAAAATCCTCCTGGGATCAGTTCATTTAGAAGACTAACATATGAGGAAACCAGATGAAGGACTCAGAATCCTTTATATGTCAATATTTAAATCCTGGAATACTTATTTAAAAAAAAAAAAAATCCAACACAGCACAAGAAATGTTCAAATCCAGTAGAAGACAAACTTAGTACACGTGGTAGTTAATTACATAAACAAGATAACTATTTGGGGCTTTTCACTTTAAAACAATAGCCAACAATTTTCCCATGTCACGGGCACAGGAAATTTTGGAAATCGAGGGACTACTTACTCAAGTCAAGAACATCATCTGTCTTTATCAGATCTTCCTCCCTTGTGAGTGGCAACTGAGTTTCTGGCTCATCTCGCAGGTGCAGTGATAGCGAACGCAGCATAAAGAAAACTCTGATTGCCTAAGAAATCAAAGAAAGAATATTAAAACATTGCTGCACTCGGTACTACATATTTTAACAGAATCATACGAGCGTGTACTGGCTTTTACAACCCCTGAGTTTGTTGTCATGCAGTAAATCTACTTTTTAAAATGAGAAAGTAGAATGTAAATTCAAAGTTAGTTAAAAAAAGGATATGGAAGAAAGTGAAACTTGTATTTATTTTCATTGAAGTAGAAGCAGAACTTTTATGCCACTGGCACACTTACGTAGACAGTGACAGACAGGCAAATGATTACAGGAGCTGTTTAAGCAAAACCAATGATCTTGCCTTTTTTTTTATCAATATTTTAAGGCTGATTGTATTTGCAATACCCTGTACACTACAGACAACTACACAACCAACCTTTAAAGACTCTCACATCTTGAACTTAAAACAGTAATAGCTAGACTCAGCCAGAAAAGTTAAGATGTCTACAAGTTTGAGAGAAAACAGTGGGGATTTTTGAGTTTTAATTTGCTGTGTTCGTCAAAACCAACCACGTGCACTACAGCATTCTCTGAGAACTTGATCTCTATCTTCAGAAGTTCTACATCAGGGCAAAGTATTCTGAAAGCTGCACTAGTCCCAAGGAACTTTCAACAGCTACTCTGTGAAATTATTATTCTTGTTTTGATTTAGAAATTACTGACATATGGTACGCAAAGACTATATAAAGTGCCAAAGAACAATCATCATTTTATTAGCCACAGTTTGAAAGGCACCATTTATAATCCTCTTCCACTACAAGAACTGTATTTTTAGCATAGCAAACGAAAAATCATTTTTTATTACTTCCAGGGTTGGTTTTTTTTTTTTAAGTTTCCTACATAGTAATTCTGTGGCATACTGGAAATTAACTGCTGCTTTACAGTAAAAGCATCAAATTCATGGAACAGCTGCAGTGCCCAGGAACTCCCAGACTACAGGAAGTATTAGGAAAAACAAATCTAACCCCCTCTATTTTTAAAGTCAACGGAACTCTGGCTCCGGTGAACCAAAATGTGAGTGCTTGGCCAGCTATCATACTGGTGGTGCTTTCAGAAACTTCTGGCAGAACGGTGATGAAGAGAAGGAAGTCATGCATCTGGCTCTTCCATGAATTGACACCACAGCAGATGAATTTTGTATGCTGTTGAAATCTAGTAGAGCAATATAATTATTCAGAGCAAAGAATGTCGAGGGTATCTAACAAAACCACCATATTAACACTACCTTATGAATAAGAGCAGAGTCTCTTTATAATGGGAGACGATGGCTCCCATTTGGGCAGACTGCATTCTGATGTACTGTGCATTTACTGAAATCTGTTTACTAAAAAGCGCTTTTTCTAGCAGATGCTTCAAGAAGAATTCATGGTATTAGAGTAAAAGTTTCCAAATTCAATCAAGAACAAAAACATCCTTGCATTTTTTGTAACCCAAAAGTCAAACCCAACAGGTGGGTTTTTTTCAATTGAAGGCAGCCATCACTCAGCCTGCCTTCACTTATTTTCCCCTCAATCCTCTTTACCTCCTAGACAGAGCATTATATTTTACTTGCATACATTTCCTATAGAACTAATGTCAATCATCTCCAAACATGTCATCACACTTACTGCGGAATAATCTACAAGAGTAGGAAAGAAAACCAGAACTTCAGCCTTTGCAAGGGGGGGAAAAAAATAACCAAGTACATCAGATAAAAAAAACTACACTGTGCTTCCTACATTCCCAATACCCCTCAGTTTGCTAGCAATATCAATATAAATCCAAAAGCATGTGATTTGTGACTTCTTATAACATTTTATTAGATATCAATAAAAAAGCAGAGCAGTTCAGTGGCCTAGAACATTTTTCAGCTGAGTGCCATTTTCTTGGTTAAGTAGGAACATCTACCTTAAAGAACTACGCACCATGGTGAGGTATACTTCGTGCTGATTCCTCCATTTATATACACATACCACGTGCAAAGAAACAGCAATTTGTAGGGAACCCTGCCAGTATTTTATTACATCCTCATGAAACAGCGCCCTCACAGGTAGTTCCAAACCTTCTTTCCAAGTCTTTGCTTGCTATGTACTCCAAAGTGCAGCGTTTTAAGACCCATACTGTTCACTACCTCCCAAATAAGCATGTAAATGAGTTTATATTATTCTAGGTGACTGGGAAACAGTACCATCTTTAGGACTATAGAAATCAAAAAGGAAGAGATGCAACAAACAAGTAGCAACTGGACTATCAATTCAAAAGAGCATCTGATTCTGGGGAGATGTAATTGATCAAGCAGCAGAAGCTGCTTTCTGAAATCAGCTAAACAACAACTGGTAATTTCAATGTTTTAAGTCAAAGGGGTTGGCTGTCTGGATTTTGGAGATGTGCCTTTGATAACTCGAGAGAGATCTGATTTCTTAGAGTTCCCCTAAAGTTAAGAGGAAAAGAGTTTCCACTTAGAGGGACTTTCTGCAGCAAAAGAAGAAGTGAGAGCCTAAAAAGATCTGATCTCTAACAGCTAAGAACTCATGATATAACCAAAGTACAAGACTTCTTCGCTTGCTAGTGAAATAAACCTTGAGAACTTTGTTAAAATCCTGCCATGGGATGCTCAGAATGGAATCACTATCCATTTGAAACTGGCAGCAAAAAGGCCCTCCAGCAGGTTAAGCAGCAGCAGCAATGTCACAGGACACACCTCAGTTCAGCATAGTGCAATGGCAGTTCAGCCTGAGAGCGCTAGCCCAGCTGGAAGAAAGTAGTGTAAGAATTCCAAGAACTTCTAAAGCTTCTGGAGTACTGCATTGAGGGGAAGAAGGACCAACAGGGAAACATTCTGGGAGTTCATGCTGAGGAGAAAGACCCTTCCATCCCAAAGAAGTTACAGGAATATTTGTACTGATTTTTGAATTTCCACCAACAGCAGTTAAGCTATTCCCGATTTAGCACATGAAGAACCATGGAGCAGTCAGTTTCCATTAACATGCATTTCTACGTATCGTTCTGTTAAATGCCTCAGAGAGAATTCTAGGAAGCATTTCTGCTTTCTAAGAAGAATACTTTGAGACAATTCACATACTTTATCAAACGTAACTTGCTGTGATAACAACAGTTGTGTGGCTTATAAGTAATGAAAACAAAAGTTTTCAAACAATTCCTGGAAATATGTTTTTTGTTCAAGAGTACTTGAATATACTTTTATATGCACTCACATAAATGCAAAGCTAACCGAAGAACAGCACTTTTCAAAGAATAATGCCATGCAATAATAAATCGAGACTTACTGGCACTGCAAGTCTTATAGGACGCTGTCTGATACGGGCCAAGAACTGATTATCCCAAGAATGCTGATAATGATTTTATTCAGGTCATTACCACTTCTACAGCGTGTGTCACTCAAAAATAGATATTTTGCTATTTTTCTCCTCAACTCTCAAGATCTCTATCACTAATTATATTGGTGAGATTAATATTCTCGAGTAGAATTACATTTTTTGCTATGCGTCAAAACACAAACAATATGAAGCCAGCCAGCCTTCCAGTGGAGATTCTTACTATAGGAATATAATGAAAGATGGACGGAGGTATCAGATCACAAAAAGAAATGGAGAGTACATTAACACATCATCAAAATATCTTTTTATGTAAATATCTCCACAGTCTGAAAAACAGAACCCCAGTGCAAGAACATATTGAATTGACCAGACAAGAAATCATACAGAACACATTTCTCCACTGGGACAGGTAAGTAACATATACTATACACACAGGCCTGTCTTCATCAAGTCTGTATGAGTTTATAGATGAAGATTCCAGTCAAGCAGCTTTCAAGGTGAAACATTTGTATTTCTAGAATTGTTCAGAGTCTTTGGCATCATTCTCTCATGAACTAATGTAAGAAAAAAAGTCTTACTCACTCTTCGTGTTCTTTCTACATCTCCACAAGGCAATCTTTTCACAAAATCAATACCAGTCAGTGGTGTCCCCGTTGGAGGCAACAAGATTGAGGCATCCATCATCAAGTACTCTACATTCATGGGTTTAATCTATAAAAATATTTTAACATTGATTACTATACAGAACAATAAGCAGTTGCATCTTTACTTTCAAATACAACTCTGTTTGCATATTTTGAGAGGAAAGAATTGTTAGAGTTCTGAGAATTTTTTTATACCATCCATCTAATTTTAAGCTCCTTACATGCAATCTCTATTTTATATTACTTGCCCATCATTCCCTAACACACTGTTGAAGTTCCCATACTGAAGAAACTCAGGGAAATGCTCTGAAAAGCTATTTCAGGAGTACTAAAAAGCAAAAGTCTGTGAGGTTAATTTTATGTTTTGACTCAAATTTGTAATTTCTTCAAACACAGGAAAAGGTTTCCCCTATCTTTTTCTCTCCAGAAAAAATTCTCTGGTCTCTAATAATTCAGCAACTTTCACACTAGACAATTCCCTTCAATCTTGCCAATAACAGAGTCCCTCCCTTACACGGCTGTTTGATTTCATGAATAAATGATGACTGAAGTATCTATGCTTCTGTACCTTTGGGCAATTTCATCCAAGTTCTATTGTATATAAACACATTGGAGACATGAGCTTCTTTCTGCCAGGAAGCCAGCTGAAGTGGCTAAAACATATAAAAGCCCTTCCCATAACTTGTGTGATATTCTGCATGGAAGAAAAATGCAGTCACGTGGGCATTCCCAAATAGCCAGCTGCAACTGGAAGCATTCCTGGCCACCTTGCCATGGTCAGATACCATAAAAGATGTAGCCTGAGCAACCTGGTCCAGTGGAAGGTGTCCCTGCCCATGGCAGGGGGGTTGGAACTGGATGGTCTTTAAGGTCCCTTCCAACCCAAACCATTCTATGACTCTATGGAAGTCCAGAATTTTCAGAGTACAGTCTTGAACTGCTGCCTTGCACACATACAACCTCAAAAATATGCTTCAGTCAATTTTTCTGATCTCAGAACAATTCATCTTCAGTGTCTGAAACACTGGATTAGCAAATCCAATTAATGTGTAGAAAGATACAGAAATCTACAAAGAGAATGAGAACAAATCAGAACACAGAACGAAAATTTCTAGCAAGCAAATAACTACTTCAGGTGCAATTCTCATGAGTACGCTGGTTTAAACATCATAAAGGTGAAGGACATTTAAAAGAGGAAATGCATTGCTGAAAGCAAATGTACTAAGGCTACAAGTGTTCAGTTTACATGCTCCTCTGAACTTGTTCTCATCTAGCGAAGACACAACTTTATGCTTTATCGTTCAGATGGAGCATTCATAGAAGCTCTATACCATGTTATTTACACAACTCATCTGACCAGAAAATATCAGTGTTACTCAGCATTGAAATCAGTTGCTAGCTAGGCAAATACGTATGCTTCAAGGAAAACAAAGCCCAAGTTCCAGGGTATAGCTGTGTCATTCACAGTAAATTAAAAAAAAAGTCAATCTCTGAAATGGAGATACAACAGAAAAATCTACACATATACCGAAATTGCAACAGAAAAAGTGATGCTAGTATCGGTGCCACTTCCCTAAAAGTACAGCAATACTTAACTACTAGGAAATGTTTCACTAAATGCTTTTACTTAGGCTGGTAATTTACATGCAAGATGCTTCCCATATTAAGAGACTTATAGCAACATACCAACTGGAGGCTGTGCTTTTTCAAAAAGACAGCTAGTGGTTGCTCACTAAATCCCTGTACCACTGTAAAAAAACCAACCCTGTAACTAACTACCCGAAGTATTTTTATCCAAATTCTAATCTAAGAATTGAAATAGATAATTAATGTTACAACGTGTTGACAAGTTAAGTAAGAACTGAGATTACTCTTAATTATCCGTTAAAACTCCCACAGCCAGTACTACAGCATAGGCTTTGTCTAGGTGAGTTCCTTTGTCTCATTGAGCAGAAAAGACAAAGGCCTTGATATTTATTCACTAAAGCCCTATTCTGCAGCGGTAAGCAGAATGGCACCACTCAAAACTGAAACTCTGCTAGGCTTCAGAAAGATATTGGAAAATTTTCATATTGTTTAATGACTAGGAAAAAAATACTAATCCAATGTCTTGTTTCCCAGGATAAAGTAATTTTTGTATACCTTCAGAAAGTGACTTTTTTTATTTAAAAAAAGAGCTGTGAAATTTCACATAAAAGATCTATGTAAGTGTACACACAACTCCTCAGAGACAAAAAAAACCCCACTCGCATTCTGTTATTATACTCCTGGAAATAAAGATGCCAGCAGATTCAGCAGTTATCAGTGAGTGCTGTGTGTTGTATCTGGGTTTGAGGATCTGGCAGGGCAGAAGAGGTGTCACTTACTGTCATACTCCGGTATTCATCTTCAAACATATCCAGAAAAATTTCTTCTCCCTTTCAAAAAAAGAGGTATATAGACATATCATGAAACCTTATGGCTATGAAGCCATACTTACTTGGTTTTATTTAATCATCTACTGGGTGTTCCTGTCCAGGCTGGCAGAGGGCTGCAGGGGCCTCTGTGAGGAAAGGCTGGGGCTACTCCATGCCGGACATGGCTATTTCCCACCCCCTGCACCACTCAGCAGGGGAGAAGGCAGAAGAGTCAGGAATGAAGGAGAGATTGTAAGGCTGGGAAAAGGGAGTGTGTGGGAAAGGTGTTGTTTCAATCTGTCCTTGTTTCTAACTACATACCTGCATTTTATCTGGCAATAAGTTAATTTTCACTAGGTTGGATCTGTTTTGCCTGTGATGGTAATTGGCAAGTGATCTCCCTATCTTTACCTCAACCACAAGGTCTTTTTACGTCTAGTCTCCCTCCATCCTGTTGAGGAGTGGGAGTGAACGTGGCTGGGTGGACATCTGGCAGCCAGCCAAGGTCAGCCCACCAAAAGTTATGTATTTTTTGTAAGTCACATTGAGAAAACATTCTTCAAGAGAATTCTAACAAAAAAAAAAAAGGAAATATTTATATATAAAGTTAATGCCTAGTGCTAAACATTTTATTTCTCTCATTGTTTACAATACCAAAAAGCTGCAGAGGTCTCCAATTAAAAAAAAGATTAAGTAAACTTTTAGAACACGATTTTCGGTAAGACACAAATATTAAGTCATGCCCAAAAGAAACCCATCCCACGTTAGCATCAATGGTTAAATCCCAGAAGTGTTCTAATAGTGTGGCTCTGCTCCATGAAATACATAGCAGTTGGAACAGAAGCACAACTGACCACCAGTACAAACCCTGTGGGACTTGTAGCAGCCCTTTTGTGACATATGTCAGTGTGGGAAAGGCAGGAAAGGACAGGAATCCTCCAATGAAACACTTTCTTCTCTATCACAAATACAGAGTTCCCATCTTAAAAAAAAAAAGTGCTGCCAAGGACACTACATAGAGGCTGAGCTGCAGACTTCCTTCTAATTCCATATAACAAAGGGCATTTTTCTTACAGCATTTTGCATATATACCTTATAGAAACGACGAAGGAGATGAACACTTTCTTCCCTTGCACCCTAAAAAAAAATAGAATAACTGTGGTTCAGGGTGTAAATACACACCATTTACTCAAAAGGCGTGTTAAAAAACCCAATATCCAAACACTCATACAGAAGGGATTGTCTATTAATACCCCCATATTCATGCTCTGTCAGAATTTGATAGAACACAGTTCTTGCACTTACGAAAATACATCTTATGTGAGCTTGTTAGTGTCACAAGCACTTTCTTTACATTGTTGAGGTTGCTGACATACGAATTTCTCCCTGAAATTTAAACATAACTCTGCTTGAGAAGTTGAGAGTTTAAACAGAAAGTAACAGCAAAGCTGGGAACAGAACACTGGGATATTGATTCTTCATGTTCACTGCACAGAGCTACCAACGGAAAAATGTTCTACGTGGTGAAGTTTCACATTTATGCTTATTGCAATCAGAAGTGAAACAAATGTATTCAACTATACTACAAGACTCAGTGACTGGTGATTTGAAAGAAGATACTTACCTCAAGGCAAGCAAGGTGAACATCTTTTATGATGCTGCCGTTTTTAGAAAACACAAGCTGCTTCAGCAACAGGCAGCCAAGTTCTAAAGTTGCCAAACGGATTTTTCCATCTATGAAAATTTCAATATATAAAATAGTCACAGCATAAGTATTGCTCTTCTCATTACCTGATGTTCTTACATGTTTTTTCTCTTCAACTGTCATAAACTTGGCTCCTGTCATACACACCCTATCTGACAAGGATGAGTGCTGGCTTACAATGCTGATGGCTAATAACGAAAAAAAAAAAAAAGAACTGGAAGAGTACTTTAAAAGAACCATGCAATAAGAAGGCAATAAAGATTAATACTGCTAGAAAAGAAGCCGAACCCAATGCCTCTTATGATCTGAAGCACAGGTTGAATTACACTAAAATTACAAAACAATCAGACATTTGGCATGGATAAAAATCACAAGATGAAAGGAGGTTTTGTACATAGCATACTAGTAAGGCATAGTTTTTCCTTAAAGTCCAAAGTATTCAGGAACAGCCTGTCTGCGAGAATCTACAGAAGTCAGAGTGAAAGAATGCACTGAGATTTTAAGTTTACTTTCAGAATGATGGAAAAAAGATATTACAAACATACAGTCTGAGCTCACTGATCAATACTGAGACAATATATCCATCAGACAGACAAGCATCTTGGCTTTTGACCTCAACTCTCATCTACTATTTTACAAGTCAGCATTATGCTGACAGAAACTGAAGATACAGACAAAGGTCAGTACCCCCAAACATAAGAGAAAAGGAGATGTTCCACACAACAGTTAGCAAGCTTAAAGAAAACCAACTATTTCCATCCCTCCTCAGAAGTGCTTTTGTCTAAATAAATGCATTTCCTTATCTTGCACTGCTTCCTTCTGCAGTATGTATAAACTCCTTATGTATATGTGAGCTTTTAATCTGTGACTGGCACATCAGTGTAACACGTTAGTACTCCAGAGGAGTCTTGCCAGTCAAGCAAGCAGCAGATTTTATTCTGCAGACAATCTGGAATTTGATAGTGCATCAGTTTCAGGGAAAAACCAGTACTACTCATTTGAAGTTTTAAGAGGGGAAGTTCAGGGAGAAGAGCTGTGGCTTGTTCAAGAATCATGGTTCTGTGGAATAGGTCACTGAGCCTTTATCCCTCATTTCACAAAAAAGTTGAAGTCGGGAAAAACAACACCAACACATTTTCTACAAAAACAGTTCAGAACTGAAAACACAATCTGTGATTAAAAGAAGGGTGGAAAAATGTGCCATCACCTCTAGAGACAGAGGACTGCTAAAAGCAAAGGGTACCGTATAGTTTTCAAGACTTCTCCTCCACTGGAATTACTTTTACAAGCAAAGATGCCGCAGATCATATTTTCAGGATGAAATTCTACATTAAGCTGAAATCATTTATCTTATCATTTTTGTTTATTCAAAACCACAGAAAGTTAAGACAACAGATCTCTGTATATTTCTGAGTATAAAACCAACCATTCAACAGAAATCCAGTTTCTGGTTCCTCAACAACCAAGGAAAACCTGAGCTGTCTTTCACAGACCGTATCTACTTACTGTTCATTGAAGAGCATGCTAAACAGACACTTTTCCCTCAAAGACAAGAGGTTAGGTAGTTTTTTTTTTTTATTTTCAAAAATTTCAGCTTGGCAAGAAAACAAATACTGGAAAAGTGATACCTGCTTGTGCAGCATAATTCATTATCCTGATGAGCCCTTCTGCAAGTACATGATTATATGAATTTCTCTCTTCAGCATGTTGAGCTGGAAGTTGAATTCTCTCCAGCTTGACTGGGTCAATTCCTTTTGTGGGGCATGAGAGAAGAAAGGTAAATTAGAAGACAGGAGTATGCCTCAAGATTTAATAGACCATAGCAGTTTTCTCAGAATAGTGTAATTAGCAGTACAAAACTCAGCAAGCTGGTTTTGAATTTCTATCACAAGGAAAAGGAGCCATAACAGGAAGACTAAACACCTTTATGTATCACTGAAAAAACCCAGCCTTAAATAGAGCCTACTGGGTGAAGACACTCAAATCCCAAAGTGTTTGGTGATACCCAAACCATTTGGCTGGATCTGAAATTCTCAAACTATTTGCTTGCATCTAAAGCAAATCCAAGTCATGCCATACATCTGAAGAGCATGACGGCTAAAGGGGAAAATACGAAAGTATGATTTTAATTCCACTTTGGTACTAAGTTCACATAAGGTAAAAAAACATAGGTATTTTATTTTGTTAATGGTTCAGTTCAAGCAAATAGGTAATGAATTGGAAATTTAGGATAATTTCTTGTGAATATTATTTTGTAGCTAGTAGGCTCTTATTTAGTACCCTCCCCAACACAAATCACAGATTCTCACTGACTTGTACAAGGAAACTAAACCCATCTTTCTTCAACTTATGCCTCTTAGCAAAGTTATTTCTCAGAATAGATTAGTTACAGTAAAAACTCTTAGAACAAAACATAGTTATGGATTGCTGAGGGTCTCCCTGTCCTTGTTCTAAAGGATGATAATTAAAAACCCCAGAAATCAGGAGACGAGTACAGTGTGGTTTATAGTTTCTTCCAACGCTGAACTTGGGTTAAGTCTACATAACAATGCCATTTGTGATATCTGACTTACTTCTTCAGTAAGCATATGTATTTGGAACAATTAATAAAGATCTGTTTGACAACTAATGACAGTGATACGAGTGTTCTCTGTATTGATGAAACTGAAGAAAGGGGTTGGAGGGAAGGAAGCATTTAAAGAACCAAGGCAACCAAAGTATTAGTGTTCACAACAACTTAACAGTATAGTAAAGAGCTAGAGATTTCCTTCTGGAAGGGAAAGTTGCTTATGACTACAACGTTTTAGAGAATATCTATATGCAGATTAAGCTCCCACAGAAGGAAATAGCCATTAACCAGCAGAAAACCATTAAAGAGACTAAGAAAACATGGGTAGGAATAAGGCAGGGCCAGGCAGGTGTTCAACAGAGCAGCCAAATCAAAATCATGGTGAAAAAATTCATATTCAGCAACTTTCATCATCTGGTTCTCTGCCTGTCTAGGAGGCAGAGTTCTGCATTCCTGAGATACAGTATATGCTCTAGCAACATATATGGAGGGTTCCTTCTGGGATTAAAGATCTCTCAGACACAATTTGCATCAAATCAATTTAGCTGCATAGCTCTTGGGATTCTTTCTTCCTGTTCGCATGGGTATTTCTTGCTGGAAAAAAAAACAAGCACGTTTTCTTCAAACTCATTCAAGCACATGGTTCAAAGCGCAGACTCGGTATCCAAATGGAAGAAGTCATGACCAAAAGCCTCAGTAGTGTCCACATTTAGTGCAGAGACTGAGAAGGCTGCTTCCTTAGAAGCAAGGCCTGAAACAAAATTCTTGGTTAAGCTAGGGCAAGTCAGATTTTTTTTTAATGTGTTCTGCTGTAGCCTTCTCCAGTGCCAGAAAAGGTGAAATTCAAACTGACCGGTTAGAGAATCAGAAACGTATCTGAAGCAGCCAATACACTGAAACAGAAAACTGCAGCTCATTTTCCTGTGGTGTAGAGAGGACAAGCTTGTGTTGCATTCAGTGACAAGAAACCATCCTAAATTTCCAACTCATTACTTGTTTGAACTGATTCAAGTGCTCACTACAGCATCAGATCCTAGACACACAACTCCTAGAGATTTATTACTTCCTGCAACTGGGGAAATGCCTTGGCCTCTCTCCATGTTTGGAGAGAGACCTCCATGTCCTTTGTAAAAAAAAAAAAAAAAAAAAAAATCATTGACTCATACCTTGAGAAAGTCTGTAAGCAGACAGATCTCTTGCATTATACTGAATTCAGATATAAACATTGTCTCCAGCTCAGTCCTGAGGCACCTTCCATGACTGATATGGAATTTGGTGTAGAAAGGAACAGCTATACAGCTCCTGAGCTCCTAAAGAACATTCCGCTCTTGCATCAACAGGGGCACTGAATCAGCAGCTTGTAAAACCTCTCCTCTTCAAAACACAGAGGCACTGATTCCATGGTCCCCAAGGCTGAAAGCAGTCTATTACGTGGCATGAGAGGAATGGGTTGGTGAAAGACAGTGAAGACCAAAACTGGATGTCATTATCTGTCTAGCACCTAAGATCAAGGGTCAAGGGTAGGGGGAGAAAGGAAAACAGCTTCCAAAGAGCAACAAGCTAGTGTCAACTGGTAACAAGGAAAGCCAATGAGTATAGCCTAAAGTATTTTTCATTTAGAGAGGGCTGATGTGACCACCAAAGCATGAAGTCTAGATTTTGACCCCTTGAATGCATAAAAGGTATCTCCTGTTTTAGGGATGAGATACTTTTAGTCTCTTAAAAGCTACTCCACTGTCTGCAGTGTTTCTTTGTGCGCCCAGATATTGGGTGAAAAATAAACAGCACAGACATTACAGAAACTAAGTAACAAGAGGCTGCATCTGCTCCATTCCTCACTGTTTACAGCAATACCATAGATGAAAGCACATCATCTTTGAAAGAAGAGAGGATATCAGACTTTTTTTTTTCTGGGAACAGGACACTGAAAAGTGACTGATTACACTGAAAACAAATGCAGTGGGCTGAAGGACTATGGTTTTAAATAGAAGAATTCTTAAGAAGTGCAACCCTGGACTGCAGGCCTACTCCTTCACAATGAGGTTGAAAGAATTCCAGGGACTCTCTGATGCTGCTACAGTTACAACTAACTATTTTGTCTATTCACAGCTTCAGCTAAAGAATTTTAAGAGAAGAGAATCCATTTCTGACATCAGGGATTTCTAGCACAGTGATGCTCAAAAGTCCCTCTGGGAAAGACATTTTCTCGAAGAAGTATGCCGGTTGCAGGGAGGGGGTGGGAAATCTGAGGTGCAAGTCAGAAAGAGCTAGAGCATGACAAAGCTGTGGTGCTATCTTTGGTGTTATTTCTATGTTATTATCTCTTGTCATAAGAGACTGAAAGCTCTGAAATTGTCTGTAAATTATAATCTGAGAGATGCATTCCTTCATTATGGAAAATTATAAAGCCACCAAGAGGATGGAGGCCAACAGGAAGGGCTCAGCTTAGCTAGTTCCCTCAAGACACTCATTTCCACTCTACTTGTGCATTACAGATACCTTTAAGCTGGAACAGGATCCTTACTTTTAAGCATGACATTCCACTCTTTTGCTCAGTTTACTGTAGCAGTTGACTCATTTAAATTGCTAGTATGCCACAGAAGCTATCCTCATAAGCAGAAAATAACTTCCATTCAGCTCTTGATTCCTAAACACATGATTATTCATATGTATGAGATGTTTACATTATTGGTCCATAAGGAATCTATTTAAAATGCAAACAAATAGCAAAAAAGCTAATCATAGTGATCCCTTAGTGAAGTTTATATACTCTCATACTCTCTGAATTATAATTTAACATAGTTTTGCTGGTTTATAAAATAGTCCAGGCTCCTTGAGAGACTTGCAAGATGAATTATGGCACTGGCAACTTAAACAAGCTTTCAATCAATTATGGCACAACGGGTGAGTAGACTGTTGAGGAATTGCCTAGTATAAAAACAATTACTGAAGGCCTGCCAAAGCTGGAAAGAAATCTGTACGTTTTAAGTACACAAATACTTAATTTTAACATATGGGGACAAGTTTTACACCACTTTATATCTGGCTTACGTGTAGGAATCACAGTACATAGAAAGTGGTAAAGAACTGAATCCCATATATATGTAGACTGAATATAGTGGTCTTCAACTGAAATTAAGAGATTAAAAATGAAACAAAAATCCTATTCCAATTCCAAGACACCCTTGGGAGATACGTTATCTGATCTTTACAAAACCTTCTACCAAATCATTCTCAAAAAGGTGATTCTCAGCAACTGATTTTACTTAACAGCATACTTACTTTTGCCTTCCCATGTAAAGAATTTCTCACCACTTAAGGCACGCATAAACATAAGTTGCAAACAGATCGTGCTTGTCTAAAACCATGTGTCTCATCTAGTTTTCTCTGGAAAAGGCAAAAACTGCATACCTTTGTTGTGTGACATTGCATATAGAAGACAGAGCACAAAGAGGGCATAGTAATCATCTTCGGCACAGTCCAGTGCATTGTAGACCATATCAAGAAAAGGCCTGTGGAAACAAGTAATTAAAACAGTTACGAAGACAGACTGTATCTAAAGAAAAATTACTATCTTGTTCTACATGTAGCTAATAAAAGAGGTGCATTCGCAGTAGTGCACATTCTCAGACATTAAACAAAAATTAACCTGTTTGGGAGTACTCAGATTATAGCCAGGACTTGTATTTAAATTCTGCCATTACTTCTGATGTTTTAAGGGTGTTTGTTACATAACACTTTCCCAAGAACTGATTGTTCACAGACTTACTGGGTTGTTTGTAGCACATTTAGTATATATGTAGAAGTGTTACACAGCTTATTTTAAATGTATACATAAGTAACTTCAAGGCCATGCTGTCACTGTTGCATTAAAAAAAAAGACTACCTTAAAACTCATGTACTAAACAGAGTTGAAACGTTTTTATTTTTACAAGCAAGCATTTCACCAAGTGTTTGGAGGAAGCCAAGTTATTAAACAGTCGAAAACTCTACTGTTGAGCAGTTATAGGAAAGAAATATTAACAAGGAGGGAACATTTGAATGTAAAAAAGAAAGTTTTGGACTGCAGTTGAGCTTTGTTTTCCTGGGTTTAAGCATGTGTGACCTACCACACATATACAGGAAGCTTTCAACAGTGCCACGTTCACCCTTCACCTGTACCCTGAACAGACCAAAAAGTCAATTTAATCCAGAAGCTGTTTGGACAGATCAGATAGGGCTGACATTCAGCTGATAGGAGCACAAGCCTGATGACAAGGCATCTTGGCTTCATCTTAAGATGGCTTGCATCCCATCAGTTCAGAATACAGAGAACTTAAATCCATTTTCACAGGTGGCCAAGACAGATCAGAAAGAAAATCAGGGAAGTGTCAGAGTCACAAGAGAGTTTAGAACTTTAATTGGAGAGATAATTCCTACCTCTCACATTGGTTTTGTAACAGTGAAAGGAAAAACCACCCTTACGTTACCTAAATTACATTCAAATAAAATACATTAAAATAGTAACTGAAGTCATAAAAATAAATACATTTTCCTATCTTCAGACCTAGGCAGACAAGAAGTGTCAACTACTCAAGCAAAAACAGCCTAAAGAATGAGCAATGCTGAAATAAACCAAGAGTGCCTTCAGTCTTCCTAAGTATTAAACAAGCTGTACAACCCAGAAACATCCTGAAACAAGGTGTTTTACACACAGCTAAGAGACTTCAGCTTCAAGGTCTGAAGAAGAAAGAGGACCAAGATATCCAGGTTCAAGATTAAGATGTTTAAACACTAGATAACACAAGGTCTGTCGTCAGACCAACAATAGATGGCAATTACCTGAGAAACTGACCTACGATGTAAAAGTAATTTATTTTAATTCTGTTAAAACCAATGTTTTAGGAGGTCAAAGCTCCATAAATATCAGTAGCTGTTCCATTAGCACCAATATTACATGGTATTAAACAAGTTCTGTAATCTAATGCATTTTTCATTGCTTTTCCCACACACACTACTTAGATTTGTGAAATTACATAACTTAAAAAAAATCATTACAGTAGTGAGAGAAATACGGTTCATTCCAGTTGCTTAACAGCACCTATTTATCTGCATTATCAAAGTCTCAATCGCAATAATCTCAAGCCAAAACAACTTCTAGGAATCACAGTCATCAACAGGTCCCTATACAGACTAACTACAGCACAGACCCAGAAAAACTTAGGCTGGAAAAAGGTAGCAGCAGAAGGCACAGTGCAGCACGAAGGTTTCACATTCTGGAAAAGCACTCTGCTGTGTAGCATATCATAAAAGGAAGTTAATTTAAAACAAGCCTTGAGGCTTAAACTTGCTATTAGTGAGGCACATCAAAATAAAAAACATAAAAAATACTTAAGCTTTCTCTTTTATTTTCTGCACAGTAGTAAAAAGGCAAGGGAAACTGTGAACTTGACTTACCTTTTACAGCTACAGATTAACTGCAAACTGTGCTGTTTTCCATGTATTTTTCAACAGCTCTTGGACAATTTTTAAAACCCACTTAATATTAAAAGCAAGTATTTTCAAATGTATTTCTTAACTCTGTAAGCATTTTCTTCCTTTACTAGCCTTTTACAAGTGACCTGATAGACAAAACAGCTCCAATGCCATACAAGTATTGTCATTCAATTATTCTTGTGGAGTGTGTCCACAACAGAAGACTGCAACACATTAATGAGTGTGATGATATGATTCCTAATGATTATTCCAGTTCTGGAAGTTTCTCCCACTAAGTATGGAACAAAAGATCACTGTATTTTCCACTACCACATGGCACCTTATCCTCATGGGTCACCTTACCCACAAGGTTCCCCGAGTCCAAGCAGTCTAGGAAAAGCTATACACACGTGAGTTGCTTGAGAGATTCAGCAACTGTTTCAAGTATTACATTTGGCATATAGAATAACACAAAATCTTAAGCTATAGCAGCCTATCCACCTGTATATCCCAAAGTTAGTGTACAAAACTAAGGCCAGAAATGCCCTACACAAGGTCTATCCTTATTTTAAAAGTGTTTAGCTCTGCAATTCCTCCATGCTGTTTATTTTGAGAAAAGATGCAGAATGCTGTCAAATACCTGCAGATCAAAAAAGTTGTGAAATGCCAAAAGGCACTGGCATCTCACATGTAAGCACTCTGCACTTTTCAAGACCTGTGCATCTTAGTTGCTTTAGCGTTCAACGCAGTCATTGGCCATTTCTTTCTAAAAGCCATTTGGCACATATTTGAGTCAAAATATCAACAAAGTAAGTTAAAGTCAGTACAAGTCAAGATTCAACTTCACAATTAAATTAAACGTTATCTTTATTAACGAATGTGATTTAAAATACATCAAAGCTACAATGGAGACAGAGTGAAATTCTGGGAATACCAGGCAGCATTTCCCATGTGTAAAAATAAAACTGAAATCCTATTAAATATGTGCATTTCCCCAAGGGACACATTTGCAATTGCTTCTGTGTTAAGAATGGCACAAGTGGTTTTTTTTCTTTGGCATTCTAGTAACAGGAATGAAAAATTCTCTCTCAGTAAGTGTCTTACGGGTATTTAATATATCAAAGTTGAAATTTTGAACTCAGGGCAATTTCTGCTCTCAGAAACACTTAAAACCACACTTCCAAGAGAATTTTCAAATAAGCCTAAGGTATACTAATGGACCTTGGGAACTGTACATAGGTTAGTAGGGTTTATTTGTAACTACTGCTACTAAAATTCTGGAATACTCAGCCCCGAGTTGAGCATTTTTCCTTGTTTTTTCCCCATAGGTATATACAGATTGACAGATTTGACCATAAATATCACTAAGACAATTTCTTTTGGCTTTATTTAGAGGTTTAGAAAATTCTGTAATTCTGGTTTTATTGTGTTAATATTCTGTAATTTAACTTGACCAACTTCAGGCATCCCAACTGTCATAAGGGAAAGCACAAAGTTTACAAAAGAACAAGATCATTTCTGAAACTGATCAGTAGAGAGGCCATATCTCATTTTTCCACTGCCTCACTTATTTGTGATCCACAAGAATTCCTGTAATTTTAATTGGAGGCAGATTTGAAACATCGCTTAAGACAAGTGAGAGAGTTAACAGGAGGGCAAGTAAGGAAGCAACCCTGCAAAATACATTACAGTTCCTTCATACCTGTTCCAGTTTGTTATCTCACTTCCAGAGGCAGCTGCACTCTTTTCTTCATCTGTTGTATTCTGTTCTGTCACAGCAGAGATAGACAATTCTGACAGTTTACATCTCTCCATGATTACCATCTCTATTTCTAAAAAAAGACCAAAAAAAACCCACACACCAAAGTTTGATATTTTTAACAAACAGTTATCACAAGCTCTTTTGTATTTTCCATTTTGCACTAAAAGTGACTGATACAACTATATACAGAAGGTATAACCATAACCTGAGAATGAATGAATGGAGGTAGGCAAATTTTCTTCCCAATAAAGAACTTTGCTTACGTTTCTGGAATTTAACTGCTATAAGAAATTATACGTAATAGATGTAAAGAAAACATAGATAAAATAGATTCTTTTGGAAACAGTAATTCCCTTCCAGACCACAGGAAGAGAAAAAAATTACAATCTCTTTCTGGAAAAAGAAAACTACTTTGTGAAAATGCTGGTGAGACTGGGGCACTGGTGGACATCAAATTGCATAGCAGGTGTAAGTAGCTCTCTACAATTACAGCGAACAGGATACCTGGTCTCGAGTGCTTCATACATACTGGCTTTAAGTAGAAGTATTAAGACCAAATCTAGCTTTTGCTTGAGAATGTGGACAAAGATTACTACTAAATGCACCAGTTCAAACAGTAGATCCTGTCATATTTTCTTCAAACCACAGTAGGCAATACATCAGCTCTTTGAAACCATTTAAGGAAAGCCTTCTCAAACAAACAGTTTTCCTAAATCAAAATGCAGCCGTGTCTGGAGAGGGCTGTCAAAGCATAAAGGTCTTGTTTTTAATTGCTCGCATGCAACTCCACATTTTTCCCAATTTATGCCTATAGTAAAGACTAGTTTCTGATGTACATCCTTCTAATACTTACTAACTAGTAAAATAAACAGTTATGATATGCTGTAAGACCATTCATCCTACAAAATTAATTCTTCTTACAGTTAGAATTACCTCAAAAATCATGAAAATGTGCAATTAAATCTGAAATTTAAAGATGTTTTCTTCAGTTTTCAACTATTTAATATCATCTTCTATCGTGTACTGTCACTTTTAGCACACTAGTTCAATTTTATCATTGAAATATGCATAAAATACTCCAGACCACTTTACAAAGGTAGAGTGGCTACACCATTTGCCTTACCACAGAAGAGATACCAGGTTGTGAAGTCTACTTACAGAGTGCCCCATAATCGTGTATACCTAGGTATCAAAGGCTACAGGAAGATAACACAACACTTTCCCACTTTCCTAGTTTTTAATCAAATTAGAAGTACTTGTTCTGACAGAATGATTTAACATGAGAAAAATACACAGCCAAAGACTGAAACAAATTTAACAGTCCCTCATTTTCCTAGTGAAACAAGAGAACAAGTCAAGTAACAAAGCACAATTAGGTCCATACAGTAAGTAAAAGTATCCAAATCATAAGCATCATTTTTATTTGATGGTATACCCACCTTCATTCTCACTGCATGTTCTGATGCTCTTTGAACTCGCTTCTGTACCTTTAGTTTTATCTAGGTCATCTTGGTTATCTTCAGATCCTCTTTCCTCTTCATCATCTTCACCAACATTTTTATAGTTGGGCCTTTTCTGCACCCTCTTCTTCCCCTTCTGTTTGTTTATTTCAAGAGACCTCTCAAGTGTTTCTGTTGGTTTTATGAAACATCTGATACTTGACTTTGCCTGTAAATTTGAAGAGTTTACAGCAAGACATTTTTAACTCTAATTGATAAACAAACTTCACTTCATATAAAAAAAGGAGTTTAGAATGTAAATTAGCATACTGCTTACAAATCTCAAATCCATTTTAAAATACAAGAAAACAGACCTCAAGTTGTATCTAATCATCAGTAGAACCATTATCTCCAAAGTAACATATCCCAAAGATCTATCATTAAAAAGTATGCCATCTTGAGACATGAAGATGCAGAACTACCTATCTCATCAATAGAAGTTTATTAATGATTTTTCCTCTTCTTCGAACTTCAATAGATGAAAACACCTCTTGCAAAAAGAGTATTGGGAGCAAAATCCAGAGCATGTGTTGATAGCAATATATTAATATGAAATACACTCTTAAAACGTCTTAAGCAGAAGCAAGGACAAAAACCAATGCTCTGTGCCATGAGCCCTTTTTGAATCTTAAGCATCCCTCAACATAATAGTAGTTCTTGTAACGGATAGGAACAAAAGGGCACTGACATCAACCTTTTTTAGGACTCCAGACATTGATTTATCCAAAAAAACAGTATCGTGACATTTGTTAGACTTTAACATACTTGTGTTCTATCCAAAGACATCAGAAGTTTATCTTTCAAGTCAAAACACTGGTTTTGGACCAGAAGGCAAACAGTATTCAATCAATACCCGATCTTCCTGGTTATTAACTTACAGAGCAAGAAAATAAATTTGAATGACAAATCTCTCCCAGAGGAAATAAGTATTTCTAAAAGTCAGTGCCCTCCTAACAACGTGTCCTTACAGGAAGACACATGACAGTACAAGAAGTTCTGTGACTAGCAGGACTAACAAAACTTGTTTTCCTACAGTTTTGCAGACTGTTTCTGAGCCGTGAAGCTTTGAGCTCCCTCCTCGTTTGTTAAACCCACCAGCTGGATTACCAGAGCACATGCCCTCTCTCACCCAGAGCTATCAATGTTGATCAAACCTCCGTTACTGAGAAGTGAAAACACATTGTTTGGGGGTTTCTTGCCAGCACAAGATCTGTGCTGAAGACGACTGCTGCATTACCCTTCAGACCTCAATACTTCAATCACATTTAGTTGACACTTGCTAATGGGTTAAAAATTTAAGCAAGCAAGAGAAATGAAGTAAGGCTAGAGTAAACATAAAACTGATTCCATTCTTTGCCTTAGCTTACTCAAGTACAATAAGCACTGAAGATGAGTGCATCAGAGACCTCAGAGAAAAAGTTTGGGAATAGCCCTCCCTTTACTTAATAAGGAACACCTATACATAAAAAAAATAGTAGATTAGGAAAAGATCTGGGAAGAAGACTTCTAACATGTCAAAAGGCCAAAAGTTCCTTGGAATGTTCTGACTTTTTAGAAAAGGCTTCATAGACATCTTTCGTAAGTCACCTCACACTTGGCATTGCAGCAAACCATATAGTAGAAGGAATCTTTCACAATAGCAAAAAAACCCACAATGTGAAATCTACCACTTCTGTCCCCCAGTAACATCCCTGATATATTTTTAGTATGATCAAACTGCAACACAGCAAGGCTATAAACCAACCAGAGTTACAACCAGATTACCTTTTACTGATGGCCACCTGTCAGGAAAGTTGTAAGAAAAGGGAAGAATACACTAAACCCTATTCTTTAGGGGGGAAAAAAAAAAAAAAATGTAGCATGCAAGTCTCATAATGCATTTTCCCCTTCCTGCATTCACTTCTCACAATTGCTTCCTAGAATCCTGTAGCTACTTTCTGGATAAGAATGCATTTACTTAAGACCCTTGCATTTCTAGTGTGCTGCTAGCCATAACGTGCACATAAACAATGAACCACGGTCTGGTCCACCCCAAGAAAGAATGCTGAGAAAAATCAACATATATGTTCTGTTCTGCTAAATAGAATAAGGTTATATATGTGTAAAACATTCTAAAATCAGGCTTAGATAAGCCATATACTATGTAAATTAATTTGAAGGTGATTGTACCATTTGAGATACTGCTATTTCATACTTTTAAAAATGTCTTTCAGCCTTATTTTCAACTAGGGTTTACCTTGTGCAGCATGTACTGGCAAAATAAGGCAGTACCAGTAACATCTTTTACTGGAAGGAGAAAGTAGGTTAAACAAGAAACCAAGAAACATGAAATAGGTAGAACTGGCCCACATCCGAATTATGCAGGAAAACAGATCTCACAGGAAGTAAGGTAAACCTTAGCATGATGACTGCTAGGAAGTTTAAATATATTCTGGTGGCTACACACACTCAACTCCCATCATGAGATGAGATGGTATTTCTTCCAGTGCCACCAGAAGACAGAAATACAGGGAAAAAAAATACGGAAAGAAAAGTGTACCTCAATTTGCTATACTTTGAGGTGGACAAGCTGTTCAGCAGAGGTCAGACAATCATTACTGCCCTATCATGCTCAGCAGGTCTCCATGGGCAGGTCATTGCCAATTCGTAAGTTAGTGGTTAGATCCGCTCATGATATTTTTTCCACAAATTGGTTTCCAGTAAAAAGTACCATTTGTTCATGTTGTCGTAACAATTATCACTGCTTTTTTGCCCTAAATAACTCTTAATATGTTTCATTTATACACAGCAACTGCAACCCTTCTCAGTTTTTATTTTTGTTAAGTATTATTTACTCATTTAGCCTCCTATCATGAGGACACACGACCTGCTTCTGGTAATCTCAGCCTCTCTCTACACCTCATTCCATTTTAATTCCCCTTATTAGGAAGATGAATATAGACATGAAATTCTACTTACTTTGGGTTTTAGAAACTCTATGTTAGTATAAATTAAAGTATAACTGTCAGTTTCAATATTTAAATAAAAGCCTACAGAGGGCATAAACAAGAAAAAGCCTGGGAGGAATACACAGAAATTGTCTGTGCAGGTTAGGAAAGCTAAAGCCCTGACAGAAATAAATCTGGCCAGAGACATCAAGAGCAACAAGAAGGGCTTCTATAGGTATGTCAGAGACAAAAGGAAAACTGGAAAATGTGCGCCATGTCCAGAAGGAAATGGGAGACTTGGTTCCCTGGGATATGGAGAAGGCTGAGGTACTCAGCAACTTTATTTTGCCTCAGTTTTCACCAGCAAGTGCTCAAGCTGCACTGCCCAAGTCCCAGAAAGCAAAGTCAGGGACTGGGAGAAGGAAGAACCGCCCGCTGTAGGGGAAGACCAGGTTCAAGACCATCTAAGGAACCTGACGGTGCACAGGTCCACGGGGCCTGACAAGATGCATGCATGGGTCCCAAGGGAACTGGCAGATGACACTGATAAGCCTCTATCCATCCTATGTGAGAAGCCGTGGCAGTTTGGTGATGTTTCCACCGATCAGAAAAGAGGAAACATAACCCCCATCTTTAAAAAGGAAAACCTGGGGAAGTACAGGGCAGTCAGTCTCACCTCTGTGCCCAGCAAGATCATAAGGCAGATCCTCCTGGAAACTAAGCTAAAGGCACATGGGAAATAAGGAGATGTTTGGTGACAGCCAACATGGCTTCCCTAACGTGCCTCACAAATATAGTGGCCTACTACGATGGGGTCACGACCTTGGTGAATAGAGGATGAGCAAATGATGTCATCTATCTGGACTTGTCCAAAGCATTTGATGCTGTCCCGCACGACATCCTTGTCTGTAAACTGGAGAGACATGGATTTGACCCATGGACTGCTCAGTGGATAGGGAACTGGCTGGATTGTCGCACTCAGAATTGTGGTCAAGGGCTCGATGTCCGAATGGACGCCAGTAACGAGTGGCATTTCCCAGGGACCAGTGCTGTTCAACATCTTTGTCAGTGACATGGACGGTGGGATCAAGTGCACCCTCAGCAAGTTTGCTGATGACACCAAGCTGTGTGGTGCGATTGACACGCTGGAGGGAAGGGATGCCATCCAGAGGGACCTGGACAGGCTGGAGAGGTGGGACTGTGCCAACCGCATGGAGTTCAACAAGGCCAAGTGCAAGGTCCTGGGTCAGGGTAATCCCAAGCACAAGTACAGGCTGGGCCGAGAATGGATGAAAAGCAGCCTTGAGGATAAGGACTTGAGGGTGTTGGCTGATGAGAAGCTCAACATGACCTGGCAGTGTGTGCTTGCAGCTGGGAAAACTGTATCCTGGGCTGCACCAAAAGCAGCGTGGCCAGGAGGTCAAGGGAGGGGATCCTCCCCCTCAGCTCTCATGAGACCCCACCTGCAGTTCTCTGTCCAGCTCTGGGGCCCCCAGCATAAGAAGGACATGGACCTGTTGGAGTGAGCCATGGGGACAGGCTCACTGGGAGGGAGTTTGGGGTGTTCAGCCCCGAGAAGAGAAGGCTCCGTGGAGACCTTATAGCACCTTCCAGTACCTGAAGGGGCTACAAGGAAGCTGGGGGGGACTTTTTACAAGGGCCTGTAGTGACAGGACAAGGGATAACAGGTTTAGACTGAAAGCAGGTGGATTTAGATTAGATATAAGGAAGAAATGCTTCCTAGTGAAGGTAATGAAGCACTGGAACAGGTTGTGGATGCCCCCTCCCTGGAAGTCAGGCCAGGCTGGACACAGCTTTGATCAAACAGGTCTAGTGGAAGGTGTCCATGCCCATGGCAGGGAGGTTGGAACTAGGTGATCTTTAAGGTCCCTTCCAACCCAAACCATTCTGTGATTCTATCTGAGTTACAAGAGATGAGGAGTGTTAGGTACAGAGCAGGGGTTTAGAGACAACTGGGACTCACCATAACTCACAGAGACCCCCAAGCCAAACAGCTTAGGAGATATCAAGAATTATTACCATGGGAAATTATAAACAGAAAGGAAGTAGTAAGCCAGATCCAAATTTATCTTTTAAGAACAAAACCAACTCTGAACTCAAATTAAAAAACTTGCTCAGCACTGTTCTCTACTAACCCCAGAACAAGCAATTCAGAAGTATCTTCTGAAATAGCTTCCAATATTCCATAGAAGTTTGTAATTTCTTTGCAACAGAATATACTGCAGTAATAACTTTCCAATGATCCTGATCTACCTTATAGTCCAAAGAACAGCCCCTGAAATGGCTAACAATACCCAAAAAATCCACTTTCTGCACCTATCTCAGAGCAACAAGAAACTGGCTCACCTTTCCTGAAGGTGTCTATGCATCCATACCTTCAGCTGGCTATAGCCTCACTGCATCGAGTTGTATATCAGTATAAAACACCATGCAATATATGCAGTAGTTATTCACAGCCATTGACTGAGAGCAGCTCTCTTAATAGCTCCCCTCATTGGAAGTGGCATGGAGCTCTTCTGCTGAAAGTTACTCCCTGCTCTTTCTGCAAATAACCAACCTCCACGAGTAAGGTTTCTGACAGTACAGGTTTTTCCCTCCAAGGTTTCATTGAAGAATATGGTTGAATTTACTAAAAAGTCAAGTTTGTCCACGGGAGTTTTTTCCTCGTCCACCAAAAAGGCCCCACTCTGCTCTCCATGTAACAAAGTTCTAGCAGTTTCACCAGGTATCTGCCCTAGACAGCCAACACCCCTCCTATTTACTACCTGTTTAGGTATGACAGAACTCCCAATTTACCTGTTGTGAGGACATATCTTTAAGACCAGTATGAAGTAGCAACTTTAGTTCTACAAACATAACAGAAGTTTATAGGAAACCCCTAATATTCCTAACATCAGTGCAAGCACACAAACATATGCTACAGATATTTTGCAACTCTGTACAGTAGCTATGACAGGAAAAGAAAAAAATCTCACTTCTGCAACGACTGGTGCCCCACCCTCTCACCACATATTTCCTAGTAACAAAGCTGCTTCTGCACAAATAACACACGCAGCTAGCAGGTCAGATATTTGCTAAGAAGAGTTTGCTTTATCTTAAAGCATTCAGTCAGTTCTACCATTCCACTGTCCTTTTTTCTAAAGCAGATTAGATTGTAAATATCAAGGCCAACAGTATGAAATAATCTTGCCACCCAAAATCTCATGGAAGAGTTGAAACATATCGCCCCCTTGAAACTGCCAGAGTTATAGCCACTGCTGGGAAAGAACCTGCATGAGAACCAATCTACTGCTTGCTACAAATTAAACAGTCCTTCTGACCAGTCAGACACTAGGGCACAGGTTCCATCTTTAGACATTAAGCTTCTTAACCAAAGCAAGGTCGTACCTCCTCCTTATTATCAACCCCAAAAAGGCCTTTAAAAAAGTAGCAAGTAAGCATTTCACAAAGTGAAACCCACAACAAAAGGAGAAAAAAAATCATACAGAAAACACTTAGAAAAACACTAACAGCAGTATCTAGCAACATCTACACAGGATTAAAATTGAAGGTACAGGGCCATGACAGTGATTCCACTCCCCTATTTGTGGCTGGTCTATATTCTCTTATGGACTTTTGGAGAAGAGTAGTTTTACTGCTAAAACATTGGGAATAGTCAGACAAAAATCTTTATTTCCTTCCACATCCAAAGGTTTATTGTAAGGCCAGGTGCTTTTAAGTCTCTCATTACTACTACAAGTTGCATAGTGAAATAATTTCACAAGAAAGTTGTGATGACTCATTTCTATTTCCCTATGAAAGAAGTGGTAACAAAAACTGAACCCAGAAGACAGGATTACAGAACTGTCGCATCAAACTGCTAGAAGCCTTTGCAGTGTCTGACCCCCACAGAAGCAACTAGGTATTCTAATTTGTCCCCTACACCTTCATATACCACTATCTGAAATATATATGCATGCACAAAAATATTGCAACTTTGACAAGAACATAACACGTAGTGGCACAGAGAATTTTTCTGTTATCATAGCCAACAATAAGAGCTGAAATCTCCTATTCCTTCTTGTCTCTCCCAAACACAATCACCTTAGTTCATCAGTTACCCAATACCTGATTTTTCTTTTCATGAATATTCTTTTAATTGCATTAAAAAAAAAAAAGGAAAGATTAGTTAGTCACTTACTGAGCTTTTCTGTACATCTTGCTCAACTTTAGAAGAAAACACCGAGAGGTCACCATTAAGTATAACCTCAGCCAATGAGTTCACCAAAGGGGCATAATGTATAATTAGAAAAACCTATAAAAGAAGGGTGGAAAGAAATATCAGACATACATTAGAGAACACACAGTTTCACAGTTTCAGTCACTGAACATACTTCTTCGACCTTGTCAAACTGGTATTTTAAGTGTACATATACAGTAAAGTACAAGTGGTAACACTGGTAGTTCATGGCATCTACTTCAAAACACAGACCATAATCCTCTCCACAGGTATTTGACCTTCCTCTACATTTTAAACTACCTAGTTTTAATAATTCTTCATATTCTTCCCTCCTTCTGAGACATGTGAATTTTTTCTCCTCATTAGCTTTGAGATGAAAGTTGTGTGATACTCTAACAAGGTACCCAAATTAAAACTGCTCCAGAAAAGAGGTTTTTTTGAGAAACTACAGTGGTTAGGGTACACAGCACCCATCCACTGATTCCTGCATACCAATGACTGGCAGGACTCCAGTAAGCTCCGTGTTGTGCATATAATTACTTTGCAGTGATTCACGAGTAGGTGTCATGAAATAGGCTGAACTGCATCAGAAACAGCTTTTCTGGCCATGAAATCGCAATGAATTATGGTCTAGCTACAAAGTGGCTACATAACACAGGAATAAAGGGCCATACTGCCCATAACATTAAAGGACTTACCCAGAAGTGCTTTGGTGTTCTAAGAGTTTTCCATTTACACTAACCACTCTATTTTGAGACAAGGCTTACAAGGTTAGGCCAGCAAACAATTGGCTTCTGGACAGAACCGGCTTAGGTCTAGCCACAACAGCCTTATGTCAGCTTATATCCATTCTCCTCACAGGAATATCAATGCTGAATCCCTAAACAGTGGTTCAGGCTGAAAAATCCCCAAATAATTTCTATATCTGTAAACCTAATCATTGTTTTGACCATATTTAGCTAAACACGATGTCCACAGGTTTTCTGATTAAAGTCAAGAACCGTTCCAGACCTCCAAAAGTGAAGTGATTATATTAGCATGTGGGAGTGACCTATGTAGAACTTTGGAAAATGGCAACACACTTCAATAATGCTTTGAACCACCTCACAAATCTCTCAAGCTTCTTCTAATGCAGAAAGCATAGCTCGAATACACACAGGCATGTTTTGGCGTCAGTACGTTACACGTTCACTTTGTGAACCTTGGATGAAAATCCAGAGCAGTGCATTTTCATCTGCTGATACGAGTGTCTCAAGCGCTTGTCTCTAATATATGAGGAAAGCCTAAAGTATATGCCTGGCGTCAATAACAAATATTTAAAGAAGGTTTTTCAGATGCTCAGGGTACACATTTTTAGATCCCACTCCATCAAAAGACAGACTCTAGGTTAAATAGAGGGGGAAAAAGATGCATTTCTGCCAGTTCCAGAAAAAGTAGCTTGATTTTCTACATCATATCCCATTCTGATACACAAAATCTGTTCCCAAATCTTTATGGTTAGGAAGAGTTTCATTTTCTTTATTAAAAACAGTGAAGAACATTGATGCAAATCTCGAAGTGACACCCAGCTAATACTTCTGCTGAAATCAAAAGAGGTTAAAAGAGGTCAACATTTATAACCCTATAATGCAGATCCCTTTAGTTACAAGGAGCAGTTGCACCCATGATTTTATCTGTGCTAACTAGTTCCCACATCATCACAATTTTTTAGGTTTAAAGAAGCATAAATTACATTATCCTAACCAAAAAAAAAAAACCACAACAGAGAAGTTTTTAAAAAGATGAAATTATGGACCAGATCATAATAAAATGACTAATGTAAAATCATAAGTAAAGAAAAACAGAGGTATACATCCTGTGAATACAAGTCAAAAGTATTTTCAGAGAATATAATGTAAAAAAAAATTTAAAAGAGTCAACTGTAAAACTCTCTTCACTTGAAAATAAGTTCCAGAAAGAAAAGGAGGTATGGCTAGTAAGAATAAGAAATACCAAGTACTTCATCACAGATTTAAGGCAAAGGCATAATAAGATTCAGATTGTGAGAAAGTTTGAGTTTGGGTGGTGGTGTTTTTTTGGGGTTTGTTGTTAAAAAAACCCCACACCACAAAACAAAACAAATTTTTCAAACAGAAAAATTCAAACCTGGAATCTTCCATAGCTTGGGAAGATTCAAAGAGCAATACAGCATCTAAATTTCACCTGCACTTTTACTAAATCCTGTCCTAGCATGTTGTGTGGCTCTATTATACACCACTGGTCAGGTGGTACACACCAACTATAATGTCTGAATGCTATGAAGGCTACCCAGTGCTATAGGATCCCCAGAAGAATTATGTTAATTCAAGTAACAAGCTTGAATTAGACTTGTAACAAGTCTGTCCACAAAAAGACAAATGATCTTGCTTTTCTTTTTTTTCCCTCCTTTTTTTTTTTTAATTGGAAACTGACGAGTTTAAAACTTCATTTGCCAAATTGTCTTTAATGGCTTTGCCAAAACAGACAAAAACACAGCAATTTAAAAATTATAACACTACTTCAAAACATGTTCTGAAACAGGACACAATACTTAAAATACTTACTTGAGAAAGGAGATAGAGAGAAACTTGAAGACTTATTTTTGGACGCTCTCCACCCTGTGGAAAAAAGATGTTATGAAAAATGTTGATTTATTTATGCAAAGTTAAAGCATTGTCACTGTTTATGATATTAAAGGGTTTGTTTTAAATAAAAGTATTATTGTTCCACTTCCTGCTACAAAATGTTCAAAAAGAATCACGCTCTAACATTCACTTCTTGTAAACTATTCCAAATGAAGACTCTCCGAATAAGCTTTATCCCTTACTCCACATGCTTACAAAAGCTGCAATTGATTACTGTCTATCACAGCCACTTTGGTAACTTGAATTCAACAGATCAGTGCCGGAGAAGTGTATTGTTTTTCACTATGCTACTGTTCCTTCAAAAAGTACTTCTCGGTTAACATTCATTAAGGTCTGCTCTCAAAATCAGCTGTTCAGAAACAATGAAATATTACCCACATAGTAAAAACATGTTCTTGACAGACACTTCTCTAAATCAAGTAAATCACATTGGACAAAAATATTGAAATATAACTTGAGCATGAGAGTGCTAAATTTATATACCAGTAGTAATGAAAATGTTTCTAAAAGTAAATGAGTGATACTTTAAAGAATTGTCACCAAGTAAACTCATCAGTTATCTCAAGAGGTAGAACAGCCCAATTTTTACGATCACAGACAGCTCTGACCTCACGATAATACTGTGTATCTGCCTGAAAACAGGAGGACAAGCAGGTTTTTGTACATGCATGAATGGAAAGAGTTAGAATAGCTGAACTGAAAGTAAAAGTCAGGAAGACTGCTTCACCCTATTTTAACTGCCTTATCAATGGCACAACGAGAAGCTGATGTTAATCCATCTTTTGCAGGAATTGCACGGAATTCCTTAAACTGCAAGAAACCTGACCTCTGGTTAATGGAAATACGCTGACATTCACAAAGCACTTAAGAACAAACACCACAGAAGACTAAGAAGAGGGAAGGGACAGGGAAAAACAAAAAAAAACCGACACCCCCAACCAGCCCTGAAAAAAAAAAAAAACACCACACCCCACACACCAAAAAACCCCAACAAACCCCAGAAATAAACTGACTAGTGAAGTGATGTATTTTTTATAAGACAAGTGAATACAGGAACCTGTACAGTTAAAAGAAGAGTTTCTATTTCATTAGAAATAAGCTTTCCACTAAATTTAAAGTCTATGCTTTAAATCTAAATTCAACTATACTACATTCAAACACAGCTTATCGGCAAATAGAAGAAAGAAATAAAACCCAAAAGTTTATATTTTCTACCTGGAGTAGATTTTTAGACCATGTAAAAATTGCACGAAACACTTTGAAAAGGTATTATAATCTGTTTTTGCCATGAGACAATTTACCATATCAGAAAAGGAAATCACATATATCTCAGCATCCGAGTAATTTAAACACTGTTCCAAACTTGCAGCTCTTTCCATCTCCACTATTGTTAGCATTTAACCATCTTGTAATCCAAACTGCTTTTGTTTGGCAAAAAAATTTCATCTGTTCTGCCCTTAAATTCAGCCTCAGAGTATTTCCCCTACAGTCAACTTATTTAAGTTGTTTCATGTAAAACACAAACACAGCTTCCCACAGTACTAACCTGCTACAGAATACACCTGCCAAACAAATCATTAGGCATACTGAAAAAGCAAGTAATAGCTTTAAGACTTAATTGTTTGCAGGTATTAGCTTACCTTATCTTGATTTACTAATGAATACACGTAGAGGGGAAGAAAGAGCCTGTTAAGTAGGTGGTCTGTCAGCACATCATTTAAAAATTCACAATTAATGATAAGGATATCATTAAGGTAATGTAAATGATCAAGATGTTCTGCTACCAGGTCACTCAGTTTGCCCCTATTTCTGTGCCTGAAAAAGAGAGCAGAAACAGGGTCTCAGATATAATCAATTGTCAAAGTCTTAAAAACTTAAGGAAAGAATTAATGTGCATCCTTTTCACAGATCACCTTGCACAGACTGACTGCCTAAAGATGTTTTCAGTGAAGTCAACTAATGCAGCTAGCAAACAGTATTCAGGCTTACATGTGTTTTAGGATGCGCACACCAATCTGTCCCCCAAGTTTTCAGAAGCAATATGTTTACAAAACTTTGCTTCCCACTGCCAGAGCCTTTTCCACAAGCCAACCATAAGATTTGTTTCCAAAAATAAAAGCAGAAATCTATGTTGTATTTAACATCTACCTCTTCACTTCAAGAAAGCAAGAATCAGCCTCCCATTCTAAGGTGGGGGTGGGAAGGCAAATGAAGAATAACTTGAACCAACGAAACATTTCTGTAGTTGGTAGTGGAATGTTAAACAGAAATTTTGTCTGACAGTTCACATATTAAATAAAGTTCAGCTTTCCCATTTTTTTTTCCTTAGAATCTTTTGAGAAAGGTGTTCTACTGAGGTGATACACAGAAAAGGAACATTAAAAAGAGAATGTTAATAAGAACGAGAAGCACAAAACACCTTTTGTGTCTTCTGGATATGTACTAAATCTAGCATCATTAAAACAACGAAGAAAAAGCATGCTGCCAAACACTAATTTCCTTGTGTGGGTATTAGCACAGGTAGGGCACGCAGCACTAACTACCATTAACTCCCTGAAAACTTCCCAAGAATGAAAAGTTTGAACTGCCTACAAGGGAACATGGTCAGAAACTAACAAGTGACTACAGACAAAAGGAGAGTATCAACATCTGGGAAAAGCATTTCCATTCAATGCCCAACACTTGTAAAAGCTTACTCTTCATCAGTCTGCACACAGTTATCCAGTTCTATCACGTGGCTTCCAATAAACCAAACGAGGTTGGAGAAATAAGGGACAGCAGTTTTATCTCTGATGTAATGCAGCATAGGTTGGTTGTCCACTGAAGAGAGATTGTCAGAGAGAAAAATCAGTTGACAATTTTTATAATTTGTTTAATAAATACAAAATATCTTCTGAATTTTGATTACATGCTAGCTTTTCACATGAGTATATACCCGACATGACCTTATGCATGAAATGGGACACCTACAAAAGCATCACATCAATTCTTAATTGGCTTGAATGAGCCTAATATTGATATATTTACATAGGTCTGAAGATAAAACAAATGTAGTAAAATTCAGAAAGGGGTTTTTAGCACATTCTTTATTAAAAAGAAGAGAAAAATGCATAGGAATAAAGCAGTAATGCTGAAAGGTCAAGCTAGTTAGGACTTACATGACACTGCATTAAGGAACACAGGAATCATCAGTGAAGGAAGGGCAAAAGAAACAGACAACAGTTAACAGGATTAGGAACTGGGATAGCGACATCCTCCAAAAGGGTTTAAAAAGCTAAAGCACAAAGCATCTAAACTAAAAGATACAGGGTAGGCGTTAGATCAGAGTATATGCAAATGGATAGTCAGAAAGTTATGAAACCTGAACATCTGAGCTGTGTTTTTTAAACTCTAACCTTTACGTCACCACAACATTCAACGCAAATTCTAGACAGGTACCTTTTTTACCATAAAAATATTTAGTTAAATATATAACAAATAGGACATGAAGCCTGCACTGTGCTCTTTTTGTGAGCTCATATTTGAGTTTACAGCTCCTTGAAGTAGAAGACAAGTACCAAGTACCTATTTCACACCATATGAGAGAAAGACATTTCATCCCTTGCAGTCAACATTATATATGCAGGCTGTCCAGTTATTGGCAAAGCCAATTGTTCATTGTTTTAAGAAAAGTCTTATATTCTTCTACAGTGAAGACTGCCATCAAATCACTATTTCACTTAATTGACAGAAAGTTATGTAAATCCAAAGTGTAATTTAAATTGAAATGGATTAAAGAATAGAAGCCCTGCAGAAACATACTCCATAATACGTATTACCTACAGCATGCTGATTTCAGAGTTAGAAGTTCTGAATAAACACCAACTTTTCTACAGAGATCACTGTGGTATTTTCAGTCTATTACAGATTTAATAGACCACATGAAAAATTTAGGGGAAAAGTGACTTCCGGATGTTGTTTACTCCAAACCCATTCTCAAAGTAGCATTAACTTCAAAGTTCAACCAGTTTGTTAAGGGCTTTGATGAGTTTTGAAGGTTTCAAACACTAGAGATTCCCCAGTTTCTCTGGAAAACCTGTTGCAGCACTTAAGTACTCTCACAGTGAAGTTTAGGGACTTTTCCCTTATGTCCTACAGGAATGTCCATTACTGGAATTTGTGACTGCAGCCTCCTGGCCTTCATCGGGCACCTCTGGGAATGGCCACACTGCTCTTCAGACTGGAGTGAGTGCAGCATCTAGGGGCTCTACAGCCCTATTATCACACACTTCAAATCCAAAAGGAAGTGATGTACCCAGCAATGTTACTGCTTCATACATTATGAAGCTCAAGTTCACAAATGAAAAATTCTTGATATTCTAAAGGCACTTTGTTTTAAGCG